GTCACCAAATCAAGTGTGATCTTAAAGGAAACCTTCAACATGGGGAAGCTGGTCCAGAGACCCCAGGCCAACACAGCGGTAGCCCCACTTCCTCCTCAGGCAGCTTGGCCCAGTTTCCTTCTCTTTTTAAAACTTTTTTTAGGATTTTATTTTATTAATTTAATTTAAAAAATTTATTTGAGGCCATACTTAGGTTTATTTATTTATTTCTTAATGGAGGTACTGGCGATTAAATCCAGGACGCCGTGCGTGCTAAGCAGGTGCTCTACCACTGAGCTATACCTTCCCCCTCAGTTTCCTTCTCTTTAGATGGAGCAAGTCATAGTGCCAACTTCAGGGGGTGGCCCTATGGACTCAGGGGCTCTGCTACTCCTTGGCTCTGTGACCTTGCACAAGTCACTTGACCTGTCTGTGCCTCATCTTCTCCTGTGGAACGAGGACAATCATAGCAACTACCTCTCTGGGTTGGTGTGAAGGTGAACAGAATTAATCTTCAAGACAAGACATGACATGGGGCCTGTCTTGGGTAAGAACTCAGAAATGCCAGCCCCAGTTGATGTTGGGCAAAAGTGCTTGGCCCAGGGCCAGTCTAAAGAAATGGTCACCTTACTTAACATCTTCTTTCAGCCTTTATCTCATTTAATCCTCACCGCTTTGCTATGAGATGAGTGTGATCATCCCTGTTTTACAGATGAGGAAATAGGTGCTCAGCAAATCATAACTTGCCCCAGGTGACGTGGAAAGGAAATGTCAAGATCAGGATTGGAACTTAGATCTACCTGGCTCTAATTCCCTCCCCGCCCTACACATATATACATAGTGTTTATTGTATGCTGCTCTGTTCTAAGCCTTTTAAAAGGATTACTCATTAATCCCCACATCAGCATCACAAAATAGGTTACCTTTGTGAGTCCGGTTCTATAGATCAGGAATGTGAGGCCCAGAGAAGTTAGTTCTGGGTGCAGGAGTCACACGGCCAACAAATGACAGAGCAGAGATTTGCACCTGAGCCATTTGGTTCCAGTCCCTGCACTGCCTGGTAGTGGCAGATCCAGAACCAGTATCCACTGTCCTGAGGCCAAAACAATGGGGGTCAAGGTCTCAGCTGCCCCCTTCTACCTCGTTGCATGGAAGTATCTGGAGAAGTTAGATTGTGAGTTTGAGTTTTATTTTCCATCATTCAACTCAACACTCATGGTCCTGAGTGCCTTCTCTGTGTTCAGCCTGTGCTGGGTAGCACTGGGGACACAGTGGGGACTGAGACTGCCTTGGCACTGTTGTCCCTGTCGGGGCTAACAGTTCTGTTTGGGAGACAGACAATTGATGATCCAGAATGGGTGAGGCTGGGATTTGAGAGCCCAGGAGGCTGCAGGAGCCAGGAAAGGGCATCTCCTCCAGCCTGGTGAGGTAGGTGGTGGTCAGAGAAGTCTTCCTGGAGGAGGGAGCATCTGCACCGAGGCTTGGCGACTAGAGAGCTGCGAGGGAGTCTGGAGCTGAGCGGCCCTGGAGGCTGAGAGAGGCCTGGTCCACAGACCAGCAGCGCTCTCTGCTGGAAGTATCCTGTAGTGCAGTGACCAGGGGTATTGTATTGCCTGGATTTGGCAAAGTTTTTGTTGAACTAAGTTCTTGTGATGCTAGAAGCCTGTGCGCCCAGCTTTGGCCAATTTATGTTTGTAGGACTTGATTCACTTACTCAGTTACTCAACAAATATTTATTGAGCACCTAACTTGGGCCAGGCTGTTCTAGTGCTAAAGAAAACGTGCTGACAATACAGAGCTCTGCCCGCAGGATCTGGCATTCTAGTGAGGGAGAACCAATAATATAATGCCCTAAAATCAGGAACTACTATTTGCTAAATGCTTCCGATCCGTATATTAACTCATTCAATCCTCGCAGCCTTAGACTGTCCCCATTTTACAGATTAGGGAAACAGAAACACAGGTTAAGCTGCTTGCTCAAGGCCTGCACAGCCAGTAAGTGCTGAAATTGGATGTAAACCCAGAACCCAATTTTTAGCTTCGCTAATGATGTGATGTACCATAACAAGGTAGCTTAATTATAATGTTACATAATTTTAGGTCCTGAAAAGTTTTATTGACAAAATCAAGCCGAGGAAAGAGGTTGTGTTTTTGGTAAGAGGGTGTAATTTAGAAGAGGCAGGCAAGAAAAGGCCTTTCTGAGGAAGAGGCCTTTGAAAAGAGACCAGACAAATATCGATATCTGTGGTGGAAAGAGGTCCAAGTAGGGGGCACAGCCAAGGCAAAGGGTCGGTGGCTGGCACTGCAAGGCCATCCGTCTGGGATCCAAGGTTTCCAAGATTCCGGGTTTCCAAGATTCTAGCTTCGCAGGGGCTCTGGTTTCCAGGCCTTCAGCGCGCTGAAATCGTCTCAGAATCGACGTGTCCTACAGGCTACCGGCTGGCGCGCAAGGTTCTGCTCTTTCCGCAGGGCCGGGGCCACTGCACTGGGCTTCACTTTCCGCGGGAGGGGTGGGGCGGGGGCCGGCCTCACCTGCGGGGGCGGGGCGATAGGTCGCTCCGCCCCTCGGCTCGAGACTAGGGGCGCAGCTGGAAGCGGCGGGGCGTGCGC